GGGCAGCGTGGGCGCAGGCGGTGTGATGAGCGCGGCGGTGCTCAGCAGGCAGGGTGCGGTGGCTGGGCTCACTAGATGGCAGCAACTCTTCTTCCAAGCGGCCAGGACAGAGCCACGCAGCCCAGGCAGAAGGGGAGACAGACCAAAACCAGACTTCGTGTTCCTCTGGGCTATTGTTTCATGGAGGGAAAGTCAGGATTTTATTTTCTTCTCGATGTTTTTAAGGTATGCTCACCTCCAGGACCTGAAATGGCTCCTTGGGGTGGTGGGGCTCCAGGCAGCTCCAGCTGCATCCCGGCCTGGCGGGAGCAGGATCCCTGTTGCCTTTGAGCCTCGCCGTCACCCGGGGATGCTCATGCAACGCCATGGCTGCATACAGCATTGCGTTATCCTGAGCATCCCTAAGGCAGTTGATGCTTTTCCTAAATCCCCAGCTCTTGGAGTGACGTTATATCGGGTTTGTGTGGCAAGGTTTTGGTAGTGGGGGGGCTACAGGGGTGGCTTCTGTGAGAAGCTGCCAGAAGCTTCCCCCATGTCCGATAGAGCCAGTGCCAGCCGGCTCCAAGACGGACCCACCGCTGGCTGAGGCCGAGCCCATCTGTGACGGTGGTAGAACCTCTGGGATTATGTATTTAAGGGGAAAAAACAAACAACTGTGCAACTGCAGCCGGAGAGAGGAGTGAGAATATGCGAGAGGAACAACTCTGCAGACACCAAGGCCAGGGAAGAAGGAGGGGAGGAGGTGCTGCAGGCGCCGGAGCAGAGATTCCCCTGCAGCCCATGGGGAAGCCCATGGTGAGGCAGGCTGTGCCCCTGCAGCCCGTGGAGGTCCATGGTGGAGCACAGACCCACCTGCAGCCCGTAGAGGTTAACGGTGGAGCAGAGACCCACCTGCAGCCCATGGAGGTCCATGCTGGAGCAGATATCTACCTGCAGCCCATGGAAGACCCCATGCCACAGCAGGGGGATGCCCAGAGGAGGCTGTGACCCTGTGGGAAGCCTGTGCTGGAGCAGGCTCCTGGCAGGACCTGTGGCCCCATGGAGAGAGGAGCCCAGGCTGGAGCAGGTTTGCTGGCAGGACTTGTGACCCTGCGGGGGACCCATGCTGGAGCAGTCTGCTCCTGAAGGACTGCACCCCGTGGGAAGGGCTTATGATGGAGAAGTTGGTGGAGGACTGTCTGCCGTGGCAGGGACCCACGCTGGAGCAGGCGAGGAGTGTGAGGAGCCCTCCCCTGGGGAGGAAGGAGCGGCAGAGACAGCGTGGGAGGAACTGACCCCATTCCCTGTCCCCCTGTGCCACTGGGGAGGTAGAGAAATCGGGAGTGAAGTTAAGCCTGGGAAGAAGGGAGGGGTGGGGGGAAGGTGTTTTAAGACTTAGTTTTTATTTTCTCATTACCTTACTCTGGTTTGATTGGTAATAAATCAAACTAATTTCCTCAAGCTAAGTCTGTTTTGCCTGTGACAGTAACTGGTGAGTGGTCTCTCCCTGTCCTTATCTCGACCCACAAGCCTTTGGTTGTATTTTCTCTCCCCTGTCCAGCTGAGGAGGGGAGCGATGGAACGGCTTTGGTGGGCATCTGGTGTCCAGCCAGGGTCAACCCACCACAGATGTGAAGGTTTTTTCATACTTCATTTTATACCTGTGTTTCTGGTGCCTTGGGGACAGGGAAAAGCTCCACGTACAATTCAGGAGCACGGAAAAGCGCTGCCAGATGGCTCCGATGGGCAGCCCAGCGCCGAGCAGGCAGCCCAGCTCGCCAGAGCCGGTGGGACGGTCCGTGCCTGTTTCCCCAACACGCGTTGGGTTATTGTAGGATCCGGCAGAGACAGGCGCTGCCGACTCACAAGCAAGCGAGAACATACAACTGGATGGCTGGCGCCTGTCCGAGACATTTGTGCTAATCAGTGATTATGCAAATAAACAGCTCTGCCGGTGCTACCAGCTCCTCCGCTGCAACGCAGAGCATATGTTCCCCGTGGCAGGGAAGTGCCTCCTCCAGGAGCTGCAAAGCTCCTCGTTTCCATTTGCGGGACCTGCTATGAAAAGCAGCTTAAATGCAGCCCGTGGCTGGTCGGGGGAAGGCAGGAGCCCCTCGAGGCCCCCCCAGCCCGCCCGCCGCCGGCTCTCCCCC